TTTTCGAATTTTGCTTATGAAAGAAAACCAACATCATTGACGGTTACGCTTTTATGAAACTGAAAGCTTCGCAAAAATGTGCATTTTTACTTGTACCGCATTATCACTTTCTAAAAATGATTATGCCCTCATTGTGTCTTTCAAGTTCTGCTGCTTTCTTTCTTTTTGCGCCGCTGAATATGATTATTTATCAATGTTTACAGAACAGGACAGCGAAGAAAAGCAATCAGAAAGAACGACGAAGAACATCAAACAACTTCTATTAGATAATATCGTACTGCACACCAATTCACTTTTCAAATGAAGCTTCTTGTTTTTGTGAAAGAATGAAGAATCTATATATATAAAGAAGAATGTTTGTCTGTCTGTCTGTCTGTTTGTCTGTTCGCTATGCATTCCCAAACGGTACGAGCAAATGCAACCAAACTTTCCAAGAATGTTGCTCTCACCCAGGGGAAGGTCGATGTCTACTTTTTTTTCAAAAAAGTTGGTCCTACGCCCGGAAAGAACCTGCCTATATTGCTAACCAATCAGATTGCAGTATTCGGTACTGTAGAAGTACTGTTGAGTACCACTTCGTGAACACACAGAAATATGGAACCAGAGGTTTTCGAGGATGGTGAGTTCGAATCTGGGATCCATTTGCCTCGAAATCTGATTGGTTGTTTGGAAACCAATAGGAACTCAGCTCTTAAAAAACAGAGTCAAACGTTTATACTTTCAAGGAAATGATGGGGCAGGGGTTTTTTAGAGGTGATAGTTTGAATCTGAGACCCATTCGCCTCGAAATCTGATTGGTTGTTTGGAAACCAATAGGAATTCAGCTCTTAAAAAACAGACCCAAACACTTATACTTTGAAGGAAATGATGGGGCAGGGGTTTTTAGAGGCAGTGAGTTTGAATCTGAGACCCATTCGCCTCGAAATCTGATTGGTTGTTTGGAAACCAATAGGAATTCAGCTCTTAAAAAACAGACCCAAACACTTATACTTTGAAGGAAATGATGGGACAGGGGTTTTTAGAGGCGGTGAGTTCGAATTCGAATGTGAGGCCTATTTGCCTTGAAATCTGATTGGTTGACCGAAAGCCAATAGGAATTCAGCTAATAACAAACCCAGCTAATCAAAGTTGGGTTTTTAGGAGAGAAGTCAGGTAGAGGTTCTAGAGGCAATGAGTTCGATTTAGGGATCTAAGCACTGAATGTGGGTATAGGGTATGGAAGCGAGTATTTTCTTCTGTTTATATAAATAACAATGTTTGTCGGTCTGTTCTTTGTGCATTTGATTTCGGTAATAACTAGCGCCATCAAACTTTCTATGGTATACTCTTTAATCGAGAGAAAAATTGAGAGGAGATTGACGCGACAGACAAGGAAAGGAAGGTAATTGGATGTAATGCCACCCAGGTTGTGAAAATTGGAAATTCTCTAATCCTTATCTCTAATATACGATACGAAAAATAATCTTGACAGGCTGTGCAAAGAGTGAGCATGTATTCATACCACGAATACTCATGGTTCTTACTGATATACCGTTTGAATTCAAGCGTCTTCAGTTTCCTGTACGTCTTGCCTTCCCGATGTCTATCAACAAGGTTCAAGAGTAATTACTTAAGGTGGTTGGTATTAATCTAGAGAGTCCTTGCTTTTCTCATGGCCAACTTAACGTAGCGTGCTCAAGAGTTGGAACTGGGAAGAATTTGTATGTTTCAGACCCTGGTGCGAAAACCAAGATGGTTGTGTATCAAAAAGCTTTGCAATAGACGTTGTATTTCATTAAACAGTCTTTTCCAATGAAAGAAGTCGATCAAACAAAAAGAACACTAAAAAGGATAGAAATGTTTTTAAAAAATTAAAAATGGTGAAAATATCAGTTGAAAAGGGAAAGTGATCTGAACATATTTTGCGTTATCGAATTCCAATAATTGATAGGAGATCATAATGACGTCTTTTTCTAATATGTCAAATATATATTATAAAATTATCTCGACTACCATCGGGTACTTCCGCTAGTAGAAGTATAAAGAAGAGAACAAAACACAGCAAATACCTCACTTACTTACATATTCAAACAAAAACGCATTTTTTAATACTTATAATTCAGAAGAAATAAAGATGGCCTCTGCATCTGGTGCACCAGTTCTTCTTCGTTCACGTCATTATCAATAGTACTGGAATTCAGCTGATGATTCATGGTCTTTTGTGCAATAGTGGATGAAGTACATAGATGTGGAAAATGAAATAATTGAGGATGCTTACAATGCTAAGAAATCGGAAGTAGAAATGGATGGTGGATATATCGTAAATTTAAAACATCAACTTCAGTATAAGAAAGATGACACTCAAAAACAGCATCCAATAAAACGTGTCCAACTCGACAGAGATCCAAAAAATATACATGTGAGAGAAGAAAGGTTTGTATTTCTGATAACACCGATAGCATTCCGAGCAACATCTTTAGATAATCAGACACTATCCGCTAATTTATTGGAATGTTTGCGCAGTAACAATGATATTTGGTCGATTTATTAATGTTGAAGTTTATGGCAATAAAAAAAAACAATTCGTAATATTATTGAAGATGTTATACAAGGGATAATTAGCGAAGGAATTGCATTTGATAAGGAACATGAGGCTCGATAGTTATCTGAACAACTACGGAATATTAAACATCATGCTGCTAAAAATTTACCTTCTTATTCTACAGTACCACCGACTATTGGTGACACTCTTGTCTATCTCTATGCAAAAGAATCATTCTGGTATAAATTGACTAATCGTGTACTTCGTGGTCTTAAAAATATTACGCCTGAACAAGTGAAAACAATAGGGCCATTCTGCTATTTACTGCATAAATATCGCAAGTATCAAGAAAAATCCCAGATTGCTTCGTTGTCTATCGTGAACTCTTTCTAACAGATGAACAACGAAAAGATTTTATTAAGGACTGTATGAGATTTACAGGATTCATTTCGACAAGCAAAAATCGACGTGTAGCTGACCAATTTGGTGACACATTGTTGATTATTGATCTAGATCGAAAACAACGAGACATTTCTGATGAAAAACGGATTGTCTGTGAACGAGATATTTCAGATGAAGAAGAATTCCTTATATGGCCAAATAGAAGTTTCACTTTTGTCAAATATAAATGTGATGAATTGAGAAAGAAACACATTATTTACCTGAAAGGGTTAGTATGGCACACTTGAATGGCATTCTTGTCACTCACAAATAAACTTACAAAAAACATATGAAAGTGTGGGTGGATGTGGATGTTCTCCGAAATCCACACCCCCCAATCAGTACGACATAAGCCCCTCTTTGTAATCAGATTCAGTAGTAGTTCGGTAGTAGGATGTGGGCGTCCTCTACTTTATACACATACACACTCACAGCAGCATTGACACCCACACCCTTTTCGACACATTCTGTTACCATTGCTTCGAAAGAATCGGAAGCTAGAAAGTTTGTTCACACGTCATTCGATGTAGTTTACTATGTTCTATCTATATGTATAAGCTCCTAGTAAGATTTCATCATTGCTTGACGGTGTTACATAAAAACTCTGTTCCTTTGGTGTCACTGATGTAAGTCTAATTTCTTGTGAAAGTATTTCTCCAAATGAAGTGCTTCTAGAGCTGCTTTCGTAGCGCACCGAACGGGTTTTTCATTGGTAAACAAAAATTTTCTTTGAATTGTTTTTGCTCAGATGAACAAATGAAAAACAAAACAAACGTAAACTGTTATCCTTTTTTTTTGTCGATTAACTTTGAGAGGCTTAATGCGCTCATTAGTATTTAATTTTCATAAATATTTGTCTTCGTCATACACTTAGCCGTTGTAAACAAGAATCAAGTTGCTAGATCAAAACGAAAGCTCATAATCTGTACAAGACATTGGAAAATGTACAAGTGGTACATAGAGACGACAGTAATAAAATAAATAGACAATATTGTAAACAATCGAGGATGTGGATGTGATACATTGGTGGCCAAAGAACAGGAAAGGTAATTGTTATATTGACTGAATACGAAAATTTCAAAATTGTTAATAATTATTATTCTACGTTAGCGTCATATATTGACTTTTTTGTATACTCGAAATTTTTTTGTTTTTTTTTCACATATAAATTTTGAACTTTCATTTTAGATCAAACAAAGAAAAAAACCTAATATATGTGAAACACGATAATTAGTTCGTTATCTGTTTTTCTTCTTTGTTTTTGCACATATGTCTTATTAATTCTCTTCATAATATTGTGGATCATTAACTTTGACACACAAGTTTTTTTCTTTTTCTCTTTCAATAAGTATATAAGAGAATAAATACTACGTCAAAACTTCTCATCTAAAATATCAATTCTTTTGATAAAAAGAAAACATACTTTTGATTTTATTTGTATCACATTCCCCTTTGTAAAACTTAAGAATAACAAGAATCTGCCGATATTGCTGAGATTGACTATTCTTGTTTCAAAAATAATCTTTAGTTAAACAATATACTTGATTTCATCTCTTGAGTCGAGTGCAATCGTTTCTCGAAAATGATCGCATAATTAATAATTATAATCGATTTTAATTATATAACTACATCGTTAGGAGCATGTTCATTCTCTTTCTTAGTTATTTTGCTACGCAATAATTATTTTAATCATAATGTCAGTGAGTAGCAACGTTATTTAAATCTAATATTTACCCAAGCATTTGCAACAGAAAAAGATAGATAAAACATTAGATTCAGTTCCTTTCTGAGACCTGTTTCTATCTAAAATGATGTCAGATGTGATTTATGATATAATGGTGCTACATGATATCATATAGGTGTAAAAAATTTTCAAAAAAGGATGCAGGAACAAACTGCTCTTAGCGATATCAACCATAATTTTTGATAGAAAAAGATTCTGAGTCAACATTTTTTGAAACACATATATATATATATATATATATATAACAGATAAAACTCTTTACATTGCATTCATTTAGAATTGCTATACGTCTAGATGATGTTCTTCGTCAAAAATTTTCTCTATTTTATTCTATTACATTTGGTGATTGCTTCACCTCAAATTAATCTTCATCTTACAGATGAAATAAGTAATAATACGAATGATGTTGTATTTCAACATGATTGTCTTCATGTTCTTGCTTCTACTGAAAAACAAAAAAATATTCATCAAATTGTCTCTTATTGTTTAACTGAGTGGTTATCAGAATTGAATATTGAAGAAAATAATCTTGATCAAAAATTTACTTTTAATCAACTTTACAAACAAAATATTACTAGTCAACAATTATATCTTTGGTCAGCACCTATGAATGTAGTTGAACGTTATCAGTTCTATTTAAATGATCTTTCAAATTCAAATAAATCATCTTTCATGGCAACACAACTGTTCTACAATTGTACACTACCAAGATTTGGTCCATTATGTCAATACTCATTAGATAATTACGTATCTGATAATTCATCATTATATGAATTCATTTACAAGTTTTATCAAAATGAATATAATCCCATAAACTTGATATGCTATACTCATTTAGAATGCAATCGAGGTTCGACATTGATATGTCTTGATTGGGCTGAAATTTGTGATGGAACAATTGATTGTCACGATGGAATTGATGAAGAATTTTGTTGGCAACTTCAAGTTAACGACTGTGAAGAAAATGAATATCAATGTGTTAATGGACAATGTATATCCAAAATATTTTTCAATGACGATCATAATAGTTTTGAATGTCTTGATCGAACAGATGAAATTTGGAGGGATATGAGGATGAATAGTCCTTTTTCTTTCAAATATAATCGCGAACCAACATTTACTATGGAAGATATCACATGTCCAAAGCATCATAACCCAAGCATTGTGAAATTGACGAGTTCATGTGTCTTCAAACGCACTAAATTACTCGAAAAGTTTCTGTTAGATGACAAACCAAATGGATTATCTGATCATTGTTGGTTGGCAGTTAAATGTCAATCGGGCATTTATGATCGATTGAATTCAAGATGTCATATTCACTGCTCTACAAGAACATGTAAAGAAATAATCAATCAGACTTGTCTAGATATATTACAAGTACCAGCAGGTACAATTGCTTTTGGTCATATATTCTTTATTTATACTAAAAAAAGTTATGATTAATTCCACTGCTCGATCACTATCACCTAGTTATATATGCTACAATGATCAACTTTGTGATGGATTCTATCCAAACAAATCATTAATTTCATTTAATAATGCCACATGTCGTCGTCCTGAAGATTTTCCATTAAATTTTAATTCGTTCGAGCTCAGTAGAGGTATTTGGTTCAATATGTATGTCTTACCACTATATGAACATCTTTCTCAATGCAATAAAATTCGCTTTAATGAATCTATAAGTTGTAACAGTTTAACTATGTACAATGTATTAATTCATCAAAGTGTATCTCAAAACAACGACTTTGTGATACTATTACAGATTGCGATTACAATGATGATGAAGAATGCATTCAAATTAATGGTTCTTGTCTATTATTCGGATTAGATGATCTTTTCAAATGTACGATAAAAAATATTTGTATTTCTCCAGTATTAGTTGACGATAGATGGTGCCATTGTGGATATGATCAATATGGTTTTTGTGATGATGAAGAGCTAAACATTCATTATATTAGAAAACATATATCATTTACAACTATTTGTGATGGTTTTACAGAATTAATACCTGTTACCATTAATGAACGAAGTGAAACAGATGAAACAGAATGTGAATATTAGAAATGTAACAATACATATACACGATGTAATGGTTTTTGGAATTGTTTTAATGGAGCTGATGAAGTTGATTGTTATTCCTCATCATTATCATTTAATTGTTCACATCAACATCATCACATTTGTGTTTCACCTTATACAAATCAATTTATGTGTTTACCTCTTGAAAAAGCGAATGATGGTCAAATTAATTGTCTTGGTGGTACTGATGAACCTAAATTATGTCGATCAAATAATTATCAACATAGTGATGGTAATTTTCAATGCACCATTGATGCAATTGGACATTGTATTAGTACCGCAAAATTGTGCGTTGAAAGTAGTTGTCAAGATGGAGCTGATGAACAATTTTGTGATAAAACTCGAAATATCACACTAGAATTTACTATTTGTGATGAATACTATGAAAATATTCGTTCTGATGTCGAAAACTTCTTTTGTGCACGTCAAGTCGATAGCAATAAACCACCATTAGTATTCTTTTCACTTGGTAAATTGATGAATTCAAGTGATCAAATGACACAACAACATAGAAATGAAATTATCTTACATTCACCTACCAGACAAACAACTATCCAACAGTATCAGCAACATTGTCATCGTGGCCTTCCATTACGAATTTGGTTAAATATTAATCAAAATTTAACTACTATCACATGTCTTTGTCCACCTAGTTTTTATGGTAATATGTGTCAATATCAAAATCAACGTGTTAGTCTCACATTACGATTTCAAACATTTTCTGATTCTAGACGAACATTATTTGCATTGATTATTTCACTTATTGATGATACTTATGAAAGAATTATTCATTCATATCAACAACTTACTTATCTTTATATTCGAGATTGTCAAACAAAATTTAATATTTATTTACTTTATTCAACTAGACCAAAAAATTTAACAAAAAATTATTTTATTCATATTGATATTTATGAAAAAATTTTACTTACATATCGAAAAAGTTTTTTAATTCCACTTAAGTATCCATTTTTACCTGTACATCGTATTGCTGTTCAGCTTAATATTCCACGTACAAATGATACAAAAGAAAATTGTTTAGATCAATCATGTATACATGGTCAATGTATTAAATATTTAAATTATCCAAATGATGATAGTTTTTGTCAATGTTACCATGGATTGTCAGGAAAATATTGTACTATTCCATATATATGTACATGTTCATCTGATTCATTATGTGTTGGTATATCATCAAATAATCGATCTATTTGTATTTGTCCTGTTCATAAATGGGGTTATCAATGTTTATTTCATAATACAATATGTTATATGAATCAAAATTCTACTTGTCTGAATAATGGTGAATGTATACCTACGGATGAAAATATCATATCTGATAAACCATTTATATGTATTTGTCCAAAAGGATTTAGTGGAGAAAGATGTGAAATAGCTGATAATACAATAATTCTATCATTTCATAAAGATATTATTTTACCACAAACAATGTTTGTTCATTTTATTCGAATAATTGATAATGGTCCACATGAAAATGGTACTACTTTTAAAACTATTCTTACTAATCAAAAATCAATTACTATTCAATGGTCATATCCATTTCATGTTGCTTTTCTTGATTTTTTCGATAATAACTACTATTTAATTACTGTTCAGAACAAATATAATCCATCAATAACTATAGTTCGAACAATTACACCATCAGATCATTGTAAATATATAAGTGAAATATTCAATGAGACTATTGTCGAACTTCATCCTCTTCGTCGTATTAAATATTATCAATTGCCATGTCAAAATCGTTCAACACTTATATCTTGTTTCTACGATGATATTCATTTTTGTTTCTGTTATGATTATGATCCTCAACGTTTGACGAACTGTTTTGAGTTCAATCATGGAATTGAACACAATTGTTTTGGTCAAAGTAATTGTGAAAATGATGCACATTGTTTACAAAATAATGCAACTTGTCCACAAACATCGATATGTGTTTGTCCAAAGTGTTTTTATGGAGCACGATGTCAATTTAGTTCAAATTTATTTGATCTTTCACTCGATGCTATCTTAGGTTACTATATTCAACCATATATAAACATTAAATATCAACCGTCTATTGTACAAATCAGTATAGCATTGACAATGATCATGATTATAGTTGGAATTACTGATAGTATTCTATCGATAATTACATTTAAAAATAAAGAAACACGCAAAAATGGTTGTGGTCTCTATTTATTTGTTTCATCAGTTATAACTTTACTCATTATGATTATTTTCGCATTTAAGTTCTGGATACTTATCATTGCACAAATAACATACATGACAAATAAATCATTTTTATATTTTCAATGTATTTCAATAGATTTTCTTCTACGAATTGGTATTAGTATTAATCAATGGTTAAATGGATGTGTATCTATAGAAAGATTAATTATTATAATCAAAGGAACTAGTTTTGATAAAAAAAAAAAAGCAAACAAATAGCTAAATATATTATTCTTATTATTTTCTTTATGACTATTAGCACAGCTATTATTGATCCTATTCATCGACATCTATTAAATGAGAATGATGATGATGTTGATGAGAAAAGAATTTGGTGTATTGTTAGTTATTCAAACAATCTTCGAACATTCAATTCATTTATACTTATGTTTCATTTTTTTACTCCATTTTTCATCAATATTATATCAGCTTTTACTATTATTGTAATAATTACTTGACAACGAACAATTGTAAAAAAACATCAAACTTATAAAAAATTATTGCGTGAACAATTTCAACAACATATGCATTTAGTAATTGCTCCATTTGTTTTAGTCATTCTTGCTTTACCACGCCTAATTATTTCTTTCGTTGGAATTTGTATGAAGTCAACAAGTAATTCATGGCTATTTCTTATTGGATATCTTATTTCATTTGTTCCATCTATACTAACTTTTCTACTGTTTGTTATTCCTTCAGAATCTTATAAACAAGTATTTCGAAAGACTATGAAACAATATCTACGAACAATTCGAATATGGTTGCATCTCAGTTCATAGAAGATGAGTAAAAAGAATTGTAATAATTTATTATTATGTAAAGATATTCATTTTCATAAGAGTTATTGAATGTTATATATTTGTATAAATGAAAATCAAGTAATAGAAACTATATCAGTAATATCAAGAAGTTACTGTAAACTTTTCGAAAAAAAAATCTGGCTTTCTAAAACATGTTTTGTTTTTCTGGTTTAGACCAATATGTTCATTGCCAAAGAAATAACCTACAATGATGATATTCAATGACTTGTTTTTCTAATATGCATTTATAAATATCAAGTCTTGCTTTCTGTATCTAAATAGCTCAGAGATGTGAGGATGAATTTAGATAAATGCTCATTAATCTTAATCGATCAATAGAATTGTCTAGCTACCACGATATAAATTTCGATCTGACTAGGGTAAGTGACGATGTGGATGTGAGCGTTTGTCTCAGTCCATCGTTCATTTATACGCACAGCACAGCATCATAACCTCAATGACTCATACTACACATCCATACCCAATTTCAAAATTATTTTATTGTATTAACATTTTAACACATTCGACGCAATTCAGTTTTCTTCGAAGACTTCTTTGAGATATTCATTTTCATGGACAGTTAACTTCTAATAAAGGCACTTACTAACCTTTTCATTATGTTTTACCGTTTATTTATTGTTCTCTTCTTTGTATCGTCAGATAGTGGATCATTTTTTGCGTCCAACTGAATAATCGCTCAAGTTATTTTTTTGCTTCTTATCCATAAAGTAGATAGTATATGCGAGATAAGAAAACGAAAGGGTCTGGGTGTGTGTGTGTGTATGGAAGATAAACATCCACATCCACACCCATTTCTGTACCTTGTATCTTGGCCAAGATCTTACTTACAAGATGTTTCACTAAGGTTTTCGCTTCGTATCATACGAGTACCCATTTAATAAAAACTTTGTGTTTTTTTTCATAGAATGTTTTTTCATTAGTACATGAGAGGCTTTCTATAGTATCTATTGAATCTTCAACTCAGTTGGTACGTGAAAATTTTTCTTTCGTTTCAACTGTTGATCTGTCTGGAAAAGTGTTTCGAGCATGTAATTAAAAAATTCTACTATTCAATATACAGGGTGTCTCAAAATTTGAGAACAATGAAGATTTCCTCAACTAAAAAGGTTTCATTCCCAATCTAATGTCATATCCATGAACACATAGTTGCAGTCTATCATGTGCCATATTGATTTGAATTCGATCAATTAGCATTTATAAATAAATTCAAGAACATTTGAGTCTTTCCTGTCCCATAATTATAAGATCCTCTTCTAAATATAAAAATATTGAATTAATGCTAACTTTACCAACTCAAATGATTCTTTTGAGGATTCATTCGAAAGAAGAGATACTTAGGTATGTGTTGAAAAAAAAAGTAGGTCGACAAAGACTATATTAATTTTCTTACCGTTTAAGAAATTAAATAGTACAAAAGTTAAATCTCAAAACTATCACTAAATTTTCGCTTCTTTGATGTAACAAAATCAAATTTAGAGTATAGTGTTGGACAGAGAGTGAAAAGTTGCATAGGACTATATATGTTTTGACAAAAGACTTTCAAGCGCTTAGTAGTTTTGAACAAATATTCGAAATATCTTTTTTCTAGAAATTAATTGACAAACGTCTGTTTTCGTGAGAAAAGCTTCTGATTTTCACATCAAGACTGGACATAATTCTTTTTCGAAGGACATCAATAGAAAGGGTGTCAAATTCTGCACAAGATAGGCTATTTTTTCGTTTTCGTAAGTGAATTACAAAGCATTTGAAAACATGGTCTCGTCAACTGGACAAGCCGACGTAAAGTGAACAGCCAGGCGGCTAATTACTTTTTTCCTTCAACTCTGATTTTCTCAATCGTATTACGTGCAAAAAAGTTGAGTTATATCTCATATGAAAGCACGTTAAGTACGCTACAAAATGCGTAGTTATTTCTTATTAAAAACTTTGCTCAAAAAATTTTTATCAAAAATATTGAAAATCTGTGTTATAACCTAGTCGTCCACCTCACAAGATCATGTTTTCACATTTTTGGTAATTCACTTAAGAAAACAGAAAACAGTGTATCTTATACACAATTTGCCGCTTTTTCTATCGATGGGGTGTGAATGTGGGCTTCACTCTTCTATTTACTCACACTTACCCTAATAGTCCTAAGAGAGTACACTGAATGGCAGAAAATCCTGCATAATTTATTGGGATTTTGGCTGAAAATAAGTAATTAAGGAAAACATAATTGATATGGTTAAAGCATTTGTCATCTGATAGCTTGTCTAGTGAGTTCGCCAAAGCAAGTCAATTTTTGTGCTGAAAGTGTCATTTCGCTTGGAGAAAATATTGTTTCTCCATATAGTATCGAGAGCTCATCTGAGATGCGACACGTATGTTGGGAGAATTTTAATATAAATCAATGGTCGTTGAGTAAGATTATCATATTGTACTGCAGTCACTCGAAATCGTGTTCCGGGTCGCAAGAGTAATTCTTCTTCCTGTTTATAATGAGTATTTTGGTCTAAGAATGTAAATTGATCATCGCATGAATGTCGTCGAAGTTCAATCACATACGTAACATTGAAACCAAAATTTTCAGCTACATTTTGCTTGAGTGAAGTAGAAACAAATGGAAGCCACTTAAAATATTTATGCTTGTTTCCAGCTGCCTGACGGTATTCTTCTATTCGTTCACTAGTAATATAATCTCCACGATAGACAGTCACCGATGACGATTCAGTTGCATGAAATTTATGCCAAAAATAACGACGAATAGAAAAAAAATCTTCACATGGACGACCAACATAGTTATAAAGTACATAACAATAGGGACCTAGAGTGTGAAGCTTTTCTCGATCATTCTCACGTAGAGCGGTGTTGACAACTCTAAAAATGTAGCAGTGTTTTGTGTACAGTTTGGCACAACAATTTGCTAACATTTTCATACGATCGCGCTCTTTGTTTTCAGAAGTTTTGTCTCGAACAGCGTTCAATTCTTGAACAATCTCGCTAATAATACTTTTTTGCTCATTTTCTTTTTCACCTTCATCCTTCAGACCATTCAGTAGGGCTGGAAAGATGGTATCAAATGTCAAAACAAATTGGCCATAATTAAATGTCAATAACCAATCTCGAATAAATGGTGAGCCACGATATAGTGTATCAATCGCTGTGCTGTTTCGTGGACTCGTTTCCAAGGGAAAACATAGTCTCTTAAGAATTCCAGTTTTATCTTCAATGTTCTCGTTATTATTGACATACAGCATACAAATCTGTCGCCGAATACGACGTTGTCGATGTACATCTTCAATATTGACTTGAACGAGTTTTTCTAAATCTATCTTATAACATTGGTCAATGAATATGTGTCCAAGACCAGCATTGAACGCTTGTTCTATCACCGCTGATACATCATCAGGATACGGTGTCCATTCAGCAGTTTGAGTATCATCCCATGAATCGATATTTGACTGATACATCCAGATATACATTGGTTCAACAGAAGAATCTCGAATCCGACGTACAGAAATCAAATTTACTGTTGAGTTGGAATCGACACTTGCATCGATGGAAGACATAGATTCTCTTCCATGAGCTTTCATAATATATTTCGACAATAGTTTCATCGTTCAGATAATTTGAATTGATAAGACGTTGATTTTTTTCTAACCACACACCGTCTCAAAAATAACGATCGGTACAGACAAATTAGTTGTGTAACTTGAATGACATCGATACAGACTCCTCTACTATCTAATATTATGAAAACAAGTCAATTAAGACTAGTGTCTTGCGAGACAGTTCAGAAAGTTTTGGACGCGGAACAAACGGGAACGGAACAATTTTTGGAAAAAAAGGGTCTCGAATTTTTCTTGGTACGTCTGCAGATTACATACACCCCTTCACTATTACATCGCAGTATATGCCAGACTGTATGTAGGTTGTGTATAATTTGAAGAAGAACTATTTTCTGTTTGTTATATAACCAAATGTCGTACACTAATAAAATAGAGAAAGTAGAAAAAAGATTAGATTACTATTCGAATCAAACCCAAGCAAAAAAAGACAGCTCAGTGCGCGAATCTGATAAATTTCTAAACATGATCTCATATAACATCTGCTAATCCAAAACTTTAAACTTCCATAGAGAGAAAACATGATTCATTTGTGTAGTCTTCAGCATTCTTGATTCATTAAATAGATTAAAAAATAATGAATCCGAAGGAACTATTAGCATATCAGAAAGTATTGCATATAGTATCTGAAATGTCAATGATCTTTTTCATATTCATCTATGTATGTCCGTAGAGGGAAAAACTGAAACATAAATTATCATTTTTTGCAATTCTTTCAATTCAAACTAAAATCAAGTTTTCAAAAAACCAATTTCAGATGTGTAGCCATCGTATTCTTACGACCTCGACTAACTTTTACTCATTTCGAAATAACTGATGTTTTACTATGAAGAACGAAGATACAAAATTTCACTGTGACTATAGCGAGGAGAATATAATGATTAATCCACAAAGGAAAATTTGCTATAGCGACTAAACGTTAGAACAGCAATTGGTCAGCTAAAGTTTTTATCAAGTGAGTCACGTTTAAATCAACGAAACAAACGAAATTTTATGGAATAACTCGAAAATTTCGGGATGGGGCGATCGGGATCCGGATATTTCGAAGTTATTTTCGGAGCAAGACGAAAGTTTGTCTTGCAGGCTTCGAATTTAGACCTACTGTCGTGTGCACAAATATGCATTGCATGTGTCACATTTTGTGACGAAACAAACATTTTCTCCTCGTCCAGTATTTTGACAAAATGAAATAAATATTTGCTGTATAGGTAATTCAGAACTCCGAATAGTGTATGACTAAATTCTATACGTTTGATTTAATATTAACTTGAAAGAATCCATTTCCTTTCCATACTTCATTTACATCAATTACCTTACATCATCATGATTTTGAATGCACAATGAATATTTCGAATTATAATATGAATGAGCCTTCGATAGCATAAGATAAATGCGAAAATGAATTTTAAAAAAATCACGTCAGCACTTATTCGCAGCAGAAAAAAAATTGTATAAATTATAAATGAGCTATGACTATCATATAACTACGGAAGAAAGACAGAAAAAATTTTATTCAAATTACAATTCGAATTATAATTTATAAACACGATAGGACTACTCTATAGAGAGAGCAGAAAAGCAGAAATTACGTCCTTCTATTATAATTTTAATTCAGTCGATGCTGTCACTGTAGTAGTTGACGTATTATCAACTTTTCATTTATTTCATACCTGAATATTGTCCGCCTCAATACTGACTGGGGGCAAGCACTTTTCATCACATAACTGATCTTTCAGTTCAGCGTTGCAGCGAAGATGCACAGTAATCGCACCAGTTATAAGCTAGTCTTAACTCATTTATAATTCAAAAAACTTTTTTTTTTACCAACTAGGTTCCTGATATTTTTTTAAATTTTCATTTATATACGGATTCGAATTAGGCAGCTATTCTGCATGTCAACATGTCTGATGACGAAAATATCAAACATAGTGGCACTTTTCTTGTTGCAAAGCCTGATAATGGAGTTGAGTTCTGCTGTGAATCAAGGAGTTCAAATAGTTGCAAGAATATGTCTTAGAAGAGTTTTATCTACGTCAGTAAAGTTCGAGGCTGTTTGGGCAACATCTCCAATGTATTAAATCATTGGCAAAATACCACTTTGACATTACTGTAATGATTATTTCTTAGAATGAAAGATTAGAGTCTGTAAATGCTGATTAAAACCATTTTTGTCTATTACCGATCGTTTTTCTAGTAGTTTTCGTCTGTTCTCAACTTTCAAGTTAATTTTTATCATAGTCCGGGAGATTAGATTTTATAATCAGCAAGTAATTCGCGTTTATGTTTGTGTCTGTTTACGTGAGACACCTTTATAAGATCATTATCTGACTCACAGTATCATGCATTCTTTTATTATTTTTCCTAATAGATGCATCAGCAAATCCAACGTTTCTACCTAACAACCATTTTTGTCTTTCCAAGAAAATACTTGAAAACACCCTCAACAAATACAGTTTCACAGTAACTACAACCATAATTCGTCATGTGAATCCCAACTATTTCATTCATTTAGCTTACATAAATACAGAGATTGTAACGATCCGTGTATATTTTGAAAATCACCACTACTGGTTCTGCTCCCTAAATCTACGAGTTCAGGCTTACATTTAATTTTACTTCCACCAAATCATTTGTAACAAAATGATTTTTAGAGATATATGGGCTCAATCTTATGCACGAAAAGACACTCAGTGCACAATGCAGAAAAAAAAATGTTGCTCGATCTCATTAATGTAAGTGTTGTTTTTTAAAGTGCTTATGCGAAAAAGTAAACGCATTCTATCCTTGTCATTTGTTATATGTATGTTTGAAATATATTGACAGAAAAGAAAAAAAAAACAAAATTATTAATTCACTCTTTACTTGCTGGTATTGATTTAAATATGTATAACTCAAATTGAGTAAATATCGCGCACAAGTTAATATAGTAGCAATAAATAAAATTTATTTGTAGACTGAAGATGGCGACAATCACACAAAGTAGTATTGTGGGTGTGGGTGTAGTCGTTGGTAGCGGGTATGGCGCGGATCCTCTCTTTATATTAAAAGCCTGCATCTACGGCGCACATTCCATCTATCCCCGTCCTCGCCTACACCCATACTCAGATTCACACCCTAGAGAAAATGTTTGATTTTAATAATATATCGAGTTCAAATAAATTTACGATTTTTTGAGGAGAAGAGAAAATAAATTTTATAAGTTTCATGATAATATTTTATTTCAAATTACAACTTGATTACGTCATTTTTGATAGTTTTGTGCAGTTTGCTGTATTTATGCAAAACATCACAGGCTTTTTATTTTAAAACAGTTGGATAGAGCATCGATCATTCTATAGGAAAATATAGTTTATATTTTACTTCCTTTGCTTTTAGTCCGAAAATTTGATAAATTTCAAAAAGCAGTCAAAAAGGTATTGTTTTTTACCCGACAAATTTAAGATAATTTTTACGATCACTATTATTTATTAGATTACTGAAACTTTTTATTTTTATACAGAATAATAGTTCGTTCGTTGTTGAATCGAAATATATATATTTTTGGTGGACTTATTTCATATTACTACTATAAATTTAATGAATTTCTCAAAAACTTTTTCTTGACAGGTTTTTCAGAGAAATTTCCTTTTTTTTCTAAAATCTCTAATCTTCTTTTCTTTGACATGTGTCTAGATAGAGAGTCGATTTCTCTATCTATTTACATAGTTTTGATCAGATTTATCGTGAGACTTACAGGAAAATTTTTGCGAAAAGTAATGCAAACTTGATTTTTCACTAGTACAACAAATGGGGCAAAATTTAACAGTCAAGGTCACTTTTGTCCTGTATTTCAAGTCCCTTTTTGTTTAATTTTTTTTCCATGAGGAAATGTGGTGGATCTCTTCCATCTAAAGCAATTTTCATTATTATTCAGGTTACTGTTGCTAAATTATGAGTGTGCAAAAGTTCCATTTCAGTGTTTCTCGGACTTTATCAAATTTTTGGATAACATGTAAAATAGATAAAATAAAAACTGGATAATTCGATATAGTAATTGATGCTCTATCCGACTATATCAAAATATAAAACCTGCAATGTTTTGCATACATACAGCAAATGGCGCAAAACTATCAAAAATAACGTAATTAAGCTGTACATTAATACATTTTAAAATTAAGACTAAATCTTATTACTTGTAAAATTGGTTTTTTTCAACTTGTATTTCTTTCGGTCTTAAATAGTATCTAAAACCTTAAAAAATATTGTATTATATTTTTATTTTAAAAAAATCAAAAGCAGTCGTTTTTGACTGAATATACCTAATTTTCTATCAGGATATGTTTTTAATCCATATAAAAAATTTAAGAAAAACTCTAAATAAACTTCATTTTAAACAGTGTCTACCAATGTTTGCTAAGAGATAAAAAAGGAGTCTTCAATTAAATGGTTCAATCATTCGGAGGACTAGTCCGATGCATCTCAATATAGCGTGTCGTGTGAGTCGTCTATAACGGTCTTTATTTTTCAAGTTTTAACCGTTTTCTTACGAGTGTCATGTCAAACCGTTCTGTATAGTCTTTCTCGAGAAAAAAAAATTAGACTATATTTGTGTCATGACGCATGACAGTGGCGGTATCCAACGGTGCAGTTGAATTTAGACCAGCTTCGAACGAGAACTTGTTGAGACTCTGACTAGTCCTGTTCTGCCGACGGCGAGATGTCGAAATATCGACAGAAAAATGTCTAGAATGAAACCGTCAATAGCGGAAATTTTGACAGAATTATGTTGAGTGCGAAGTGTTGATGTAAAGAGGGTACCGGTGTCGGTGTGAGTGGATCTGGAATGTATGGTGGATGTTGATATAAGTGATCAATGTAGAGAAGATCCGTACAACACCCACAGCCCACACGCACCTACACCCTGCCGTTTTTTTTCTCGGTTCAGTCAAGCGTTTCTACCGGCCAGTTCGATTGGAAAAAGAAATTCAGCCGATTCCAAGTGTGAGTGTATTCTTGTTAGAGTTCGTGCTCGCGAAGAGCGACGAACACTGTTAAAGATATATGTATTTTCTTCTCTCTGTTTACTCTTTGAAAAAACTAATGTTTATATACGAACATAAAAATAAGAACAAAAGTAGAATAGAATAGAAAGGTTAATCAAGGACAAAGAAGAGCAATAGAAACGAAATAACAGAACCGAAAATATCAAAGAAAAGAGATTAGATAGAATCGAGGTATATGTAGTTACAATACACTGTAACAATTCTCCTTTACAGTTCTGACGCATGCGACTTTACTTCACATTGTCATCAACATCAGATTTCGTTGGTTAGCATAGGTATCAAGAGATTCTAATTCTATATAAATGTTTTAGTAGTTGTCTGTAAATTTATTAACGGAGTGTAAATGACACTAGTGAATTCAACTAATTTTAATGGTACAACGTTAGCTGTTTACCTTCTGCTTCGTAGGCTGAATAAAATGTAGCTTCGTTTTAAAATAAGAAATGTTTTATTTTAAGAATAAGAAACAACAATGAAAGTCAAAGCCAATGTCATTAGTAAAGAAGAAATCTTTTGCTTATTTCCATCGGCAATCCGTCGTCCATTAGCATCTGTAAAACCATAATCGCTGAATATCATTTTGAGTTGTGAAACTGTTTCATCAGTATTGCATAGATTGTGATCACATTCAACATCAAATGATGAATAAGATCCACCATCATAAACATGAACTTTGGGTTCATTACTTTGGTAGCAACCACGTGTTCTGTACTTGCGTCCTCGTAGATCATAATCTAAAGCGCATAGTTCATCAGATGAGCATTTGACTATTTCCTTTCTCATATTATAACATTGAATTGAACCGTTTCGTAAAGGGTTCTTGATGATTGGAGCAATTTGTCCATATATAATTTGTGGGTTGTATTTGCGAAGAAGCATTTCAGTGATTCTGTTCTGTGCATATGAAATAACACAATCAGTTCTTTTCGAACATTGGTAATTAATTCTATAAGTTAAGTAGGGTCCTGATGTTATATAAAAAGAATCGGTCGACAACGGAAGTGTGCCAAAGTCTATATAATACGAAAATTCATGATACCTTAATATGATCTCCATAGAGCAAACAGATTTTGATTTCCGCTGTTGACATTGTCCATCAGGAATATTAAATGTTTGACCAAAATCGTAAGGACCTAGCGAACAGTTGGTTATACATTGGAGAGCATAACCAATGTCTGTCGTAAGCAGTAAAACTAATAATAATACGAACATTTTGTGTTTGTCTACAAGTGCAAAAGAAAATCTGTTTTTATACTCTTTGTCAATAAACACGTGCAAAGGTCTGCTGATAAATATTGTTTTACGAAGCAAACTAACATCGAAGAAGTGCAATTTAACTCTGATGCAATATGAGTTAGATTGCTATGATACGCAGATGATAAAATGTAATCTCACACCCGTTTTTTATTCTGTTTGTTTTTGTGGGTGTGGGTGTCAGCAAAGAGGACACTTACATCCAACACGCCCAAATCCGCACCCTTCGACCTTGATATTGTTGATGTTGACCATATTACTTCTGAATAAGAGTATAGATAGTATAGATACTCATAGCCAAGTAGCGAATAACCATCACACATATTAATAATCGTGTAGCAAAGAGGAAAATTGCCAAACCATCATCGTGTTTTTTTTTTCTATAAAACAAAAACTTATCGTTAAAGTCAGACCGTTGGAATTCCACCGAAGTATAAAATGATATCTTGAAATTTTTCAGTCTTTACCAAACGATCCTGACAATTTAAAAAGAAAATACTATAAAGTGTGTACATGTAAAGAGCAAGAAAATAAGTTTCTCACTCTATAAACAGAAAACAAGATTTATATACGTATAAGCACCAGTTAATTTCGAAATAATTTAGAGTTATTTTTTGTTAAAATACAAGAAATATTAATTGGTATAAAAGGAATGGATATAATGAAAACTATTCAAACAATTTTTTTTTTATTTAAAACAACATGTTAAATATTATACAATCTAAAATTCTTCTAACAAAATCGCGGTTTCACTCTTGAAAGATGTATTTATTATTTTAATAAATTTATATTGTCTAAATAATGATACGTTCATTTACTGTAAGAATGTTTTTTTTTCGAAGAAAAATCAATCTTTATTAATGTGCAACGCACGGAAAAACTTCTATGGAATTGTCTCGGAACCATATAGGACATAGATAATCACATCTTGAAAAAATCGAATATAATAATATATTCTTATTGTTTGCTTTAAGATTCTTCATTAACAAAAAAAATACAAGTGAACATAAATAAGCGACTTCATAAAATCTTCATTCAAGAAAAACTTGTGCACATTTTAGTCCATTAATATTTATTTTAACGTATACTAAACTATTTACCTACTGACAATGATCCAGATTGTTCATGAAAAGTGATTAATCATGTGAAACTCTACATTAGTTTTATATTAAAGCTAATACTTACGTAGATTTTAGTCGCAAAATATTTCTAGTCAATTTTTAAATAATAAAACCCATAGAAGAAACCAACTTTCACCAATAATAATTTTTTCTTTACTAAATGTGAAAACTAGATTTAAAACTATGATGCAACAAAAGCTTAATCCTACTTCGAACTTCAAAGAAAAATAACGTTCATATATTAAATCATGTAAGATAGATAATCATTTTCTTTTTGAGTGATAGCAAGAACATCTGCCAAATGATAAAAATTCTTTGATCAGTTATCAGTAAGTTAAAGAAAATATTATTGATAACATATTATAAAACAAAAAGCATACAAATTTACTGTAACCTCTAATTTGTACAAAATTTATTAACACCACGTACAAGTGTTTGCAGATTATTAATATCAATAGAAGAAATCGTATATTTTTATTAATAAGAAAGTTTCTCAATGTAATGTTCAGTTATATATTATCAGATACTAAAACACACGCATTCAAACAACTAGAAAAAAAGAAAACAACATATAGCCTTTCACTAGTGAACAGTCTGAATATATCTTTCTCATATACCTAGATAATCGAGATGTTTTTCCACGAAAACTGTAAATACAAGTTATAAAGCGATAGTGTCATTTTTGTTGAAAAATTGTGTCCATATCTACTATGTTTTAGCATTCCTTTAAAATGATTGTTATTTGATTTTTTTCGCATCGATGTATGCTGCTTGAGAGAAAAATAAGCATTTGTCTTTGTATGAAATGGAGAATGAGAATTTATTATTGGCGACAAGGAAAATTTTCAGCCGTATTTCTTATGTACTTCAAGCTATACGAAAGCATGCTTTAAAAGTGTTGGTTTAAAACAATAATGACACTTCTTGAGATCAGTGACACTCATCCTATTCTTCCTTTTAATAAAAAGAAATGAAAACAATATTTATTGGTTCACTTTTTCTGATGAATGAGTTCGAGAGATGATGTAGATTTCTAAATAAATGTGAGTACACAGACATGAAGGAACTGATTCAAAACAAAATCGTTGGAAACCTTTATTTAAAAAAAGGGTACTCAAAAAATATGAAGAAAAATACTAGTGAGATAGATCTATCCAGCATGACAAGCAAAACTTAAAGAAGAAACATTGTAAATCAAAAACAGATAAAAATATTAAAGACAAAATATTACTGAATACCTAATTATAGGATGTGGATGTAACAGAGTGAAATCAAACCCACACCTTCTATTGTTGCCATTACAACAAATTCATAAACAAATTACTTATGTAAACTTTACTAACCTGATTTACGATCTATGAACAGCTTAGTATGAACTAGAGTCATTTACGTGAGCGACAAATAGTATTTTAGTTTTTACTGATTGTTTGACTTTCGATAATGAGAAATGAATTTTAAAATAATTTTAAAGATCTAAAAAATTGAATATATATATCTTATCAATCATAGCAGTGTAGAATCTGACTGTTATTTTAGTTGCTGGTTTCTAATCATGCTCTCGAGTATCGTTAATCAAATGTTGAAAACATATGCTCGAAGTCAGTATTTATTTTGCAAATGGGACTACAGTAGTTGTATTCATCATGATAGGTACTTTAGAGTCTAAACGAAACTCTAATTTATATAGCGGTCGTATTAATGGTACTATGCGAACGAACACTCTCACAATCTGTATCTGATACAAGTGAGCGTCTTTCTATCGATTCTAATGTGAATAAATAAGAATTAGAAAAAGTTAGATGTAGATGTAGAGTAGGTGATAAGACAGATTTCAGATAAAAATAATATTTTCGTTTCAAATTTCAAAATAAACTGTAGAGGATCATAGAATCTTGATTTCTCTGTGTGACCACAAAATAAAGCTATATGGCTTAGATCCTTTATGAAAAAACAAACATTGTCTGTATAATAAATCATGACATATAATAAGAGTATTAGTTGAATATCAAAAGAACGAAATGAAAAGCATATGAAAACTTTGTTTCTCTAGTATCTCTAATTTTTTTTTCATTGTTACACGACATCATATTTTCGTTAAATATCATCAAGCTCTGTAAAAGGAAACTATTTCACGACAAAGAACATACTGAGAGACTAATTGATATCTTAAACAATATACAGTCACTAAAAAAGTAATATTTCTGAATTTACAATTCACTAGTTTTGAACGTCAAATAATTTAACATAGAGAATTCTGCAACATAACCAATCTAAATGTTAATTGATAATATTGTTTAAGTATAGTGTTGTCTTTCAAACTTTGAATTGCATAAGAGTATCAAAACTACAGCCGCGCTGTAATTTCTGAAGTTCAGTTAGAGTAATATGTTGTATTTGGTACTTTTAATATTTCTATTGCTGTTCGATTTTATCTTATTTAACTAACTTCTATACATTCACATTTCTTAATATTAGTCACTGAAGATTCTAATTCAACATTGTATACTCTTGTTGCTAAAATGAAAATAAACTATGTCTGACAGTGACTCTTTTGCTGAATTCTAGAAAATTATATAATAAATAATTCATTTCATGTCATTCATTTTTATTAATATCATATTGAAATGAAATACGAAATAGAAAAAAAACGAAATAACACAAATAGTTTTGTTAATTATGAGCACCAGTTTTCTTTTCAACAATGCGAAATATATTTCTATTATCATTCTTCATCATCTTTTGCTTTTGTTATTATTGATTTCATATGAACATCATGTTTCAATGCTGCTGTTCCTTGACCTTCACGCAATATTTTTCCACTCACATTTACCGTAACAGTTCTTTGTTGTGATGTCGATGTTTCTCTCAATAAAAAAGTTCGATGAAAAGATCCAGGTATGGTATCTGGATTAATGATAACTTCAACTTGAAAACTGGTTCGATTTTCAGAATGAGACTGTGATAATTCAGTCACCAATAATTGCAATCCATCTATAGGTTGATGATCGAAGATTGTCTCTAGTTTGATAGGAACTTGATGAAAAACCACATCGATTGTCATTGTATAACTATGAGAAAGTTTCAATATACCAAAATATAAATCAAACGAATATCGGTTTTTACAATATTGTTCCCATTGCAATTCATCTAATTAAAAGAGATTAAGAAAGAAAAAAGTAATCATGAGATCAAAAACAACAATAAAAATAGTGAATACTGGTCTTAAATGGATTTTCTTCATCTTTGTTTGATGAATCTGTTGCATCGACATTAAAACGAACACCTGTAAAACATGAAACAAAACAGTTTTGAATTTTTTGTTACAAGTTTTTTTTTTTTTAACTATACCACCAACTTTTCGAATACGAGTAGAAGTATTGTCTACCATCTGAAAGAAAAGAAAGAAATTACATAGTGAAAGGAAAGGATAGGTCATTGTTGTTCATTCATTTCATCTTCATCCGAAGCTTTATTGTTGGCTATTTTTCAAAAACTTTAAAGTTTACAACGTAATTTAAAACATGAATATCCATCAATCTATTCCAGTTTGTGACTCGTTCAAGAGTTGTAGTAGCTCGATTACCATGAGGATAACTGACACTTGGATTCTATGCGTGTAGTACATGTATAGATTACTACCATACCAAAAATAATACAAGAAGAAATATCTATTGAATCGTAGTTATGAAATGCTCTAGACACAATCTATGATCTTAAAGGCGTCTACACATACTAAAATCTAATAATCGTTGCAGACTAAAATTTTGAATTTGAAGTGTTTGATACATTCTACTTTAGTTTTATGTAAACTGGTATATTGACTTTTGAGAATACATTCCGAATTCATATACGAACTGCTGTCATGCTCTATTTTATAAAATTGATGATCTTGTTTTTTTGTATTCCTCTTCAAACGAATGTTTTCTTCTTTTCCGTACGGGTGGTACTTTTTTAACAGATCTATGTATCTATTACTTGCCTACATTTGATTAATCAAGAAAACGAACGCAAGTTTCTTTTTTCCGATTGAATTATTCACTATATAAAGTATAATTGGCGATACAAAAAAATAACAAAACAAACGAAAAATAGTTTAGATAATTTTGATCTATAATTCTTGTTTTGCGATTACTTGTTACTGTAATTTACTTGACAAATGATTGTAGAAGAAAACCACATTTCATTAGTCAAAATATATCCAATTTCAAAAATGAAACAAATAAAGCGATTACAACTTGTTTACGTTCTTCTTAATAATTTTAATTTTTCTGTCGAATTCTATGTTTTTTGATCTTATTGAATCCTTATCTCAACTGGAAATTTAATCAAAGTACAAAAACCTTTAAAATATTCTTTTGTATTGAGATCTTTAGTTGACTACCACACATAATTCTAATTCAGACGAGAAAAAGCAAGTTCATTTCTATGAAAAAAAAAAAAATACTTTGAAGAGCCTTTTGATTTTAGTCAAATTTGTAGTTGAGATGAGAATGAAATAAGATTAAAAAAACATAGAGTTTGATAAAGTAATGAAAATTCTATTCGATTTTATTAAAAGAAAAATTTATAATAAATAAATGGTTAATATCCTATTCTATACTATTATGTTTGCAAAATATATTCTCAGAAATAAAATCAATTGAAATGACTGTTCACCATCGTTGTGTACTTTAAAACGACTAAGAATGATAGAAAAAGTTGTATCTCGCATTTTTCGGTCATCATTCGTTAGTTGTAAACAGTCATTCGAAACTTTAGTACTATTAAAAAAATGTTGCTTGAAAGCATCAATGACAACTTCAAAAAGCTCATAGAAATAAGATCCTATCGAACCGTATAAGTTGTACTTTACATAAGCTTGGAGTTTGATGCTTAATCACAATAATAAAATCGAGTAACATTTAAAAACAATAGAGTCGCTATTGTGTTTCGGTCTGATCTACACTACAAAAGTTAATAAATATAATATCGAACATGATTTTGTTTTGCACATAATTATCTTATAAAGTTAACTTATAAAACGTAGCTTGATCCGAAATCATAGACAATCGTCTTAGCGAAATTGAAAAATTACTAATGATATAAAATTTATAAAGACTTCACATGAATTTGCAGAAAAAAATAACTCCATTTGAAAAATTGCTCGAAAAAATATATTTAGTACTGTATATAACACATACTTTTCAAAAGTATATCAATGTTCATGCACTAATTGAAGAAAACTTGATCCATTAATTGAAATGATATATCTTGATGAAGTAACTCCTTATCATTCATTAAAATATTGAATAAATCTATAGTTAAAAGAAATAAGTCAGAATTATGAATAATTTTTTAAAAATATTTTATTAGCCATGCATTAGTTATAAAAGAAAAGATAGAAACAACATGTCGCTTCTTATAGAATTATGCATTTCGACTACTAGAGAAATAGAATTTTGTTTTGACTTACTTTAGATTTATTGTGGTGATCAATAAACTAATCATGAGAAAACAAGATAGAGGGCAGCATATTATAATGACAAGCTATTGCAACTAAATGTTTCACAGTATGTGACAAAGGATTAAAACTAGGAAAAATACGATCTTTTAAGATGTAAGTTTTGCATAAATCAACTCAGGAACAATCAAATTAAACTTAAATAAACTGAATCGTTTTGACCATTTTCAAGAAAATGTCAAAATATTAATTCAACGAAAGTTAGTGAATAAAATGAGATGATAATTAATAAGGTGAAAAAAAAATCAGTAAGGACTTAATTTTTTTTAGTAAGGTTTCAAATTGAAAAATAAAACTCACCTCCGACCATATATACACGTATAAATCCGTTCTAATAAAGCAATTCTCTCAAGACTAAGCAAAAAGTTCGCATTTATTATACGAGTGATTACAAATATATTTAATCTTCGTAAAATGTGATCGTTTTGAAAAAAAAAACATTTTTCCTAAAGTGTTCTGAGAAACTTTCACTCTGGAATATGAAGGTAAGATCAGTGAGAATATCGTGTACAAATAGATGATTAATGAACCTGACAATCAAAACTCCCATATATTCGATAGATTTCGAAAGACAAATATGTTTTTCTTCAGATTTTCGTTCTCCGTTCTGTATCTAACAGTACAAACATGTCTTATTATTCGAACTAATAGAATCCTTTTTTTTTGAGAACAGTTAAAGGATATGGATGCTTGAAAATGTCTATTGAAACGACTCTCAACAGTTTTAAACAGTAGTGAAAAAAAATATTAATTTATGTTGTATGAATACAGACAAGTCTTTCCTATCATTCATCTGATCGCTTCAAAATGTTAATAAAAAGAAATTAAAACTAGAATACAGTATTAAATTTTAAGTAGATTGCTAGAATGGATTATATTAAATATAATAATAATTCATGATTTGCTAAAAGTATGTTCAATGAATAACTAAAATAAATTGATTCTACATGTTGTCGTTCGATTTCATTCAATTATTGATTAAATAAAGTATAATAGCGAACGAATCTACGTCATCTTGAACATAACGAAGAATGATTCTTGGACCGACGGAACAAAGCAAAGAGTGATCGACAGCAGATTGATTGAATAATATTTTATATTAGATCGAAGTCCATCCATGAATTGGTCGACTTCGAATAAGAAAAATCAAAATTTTACCTTCACCTTTCATCGACAGAGAAAAATGAATTAGATGTCGACCTTTCATTTCAATGTTTAATGAAATTCAGACGGTTATAGAAAATCGAGAAATGCAGTTTTCAAAAAGTAAAATTTTTATTTTGGTTTATCCGTTTGGATGCTGAAATCAACAATTCTGAGTGTGTGAGTGTGGGGTGTGAATGCGAGTGTGGGGTGTGAATGCGAGTGTGGAACTATATGAGCGAGCTTTCACATCCATATTCCACACCGCCACCCACACTCAAAAAATACCGATCTTTAAAATAATAAAAAATGAACGTATTCTAATCTTGATCAACTTGAGAGAAACCCCTTTCCCTTGAGTCTTATCCATCACAAGATCTAGAACGGAGTTATGACGGATGATACCTAGTCTTGGCCTGATATTCAGAACTTAGAACGATTTCTTACTAATTTTTGCTTTGCTTCTCACCAGATGCATGATTAATTCTGAATATTTTGACATGAAACTAAAGCCCAGTGTTGGGTCTTTCGTTATCAAAAAGATAAATTTATTTACTCGAATATTGGTGTCTTTCGTGTTTTGAACACTAACACAATAGTTATCGATGTGTGATTCCTTTCTGGTATAGTATTTGATCCTGGCACTAGCAAGCAATAATACCAAACTATGAAGGAAGGTCGTCTGAAGGTTTCAAATTAATTCATTGAACTTTTATTGAGTTGTGCATCTTCAAAAGATAATAGATGTTTCTTTGAACAGTGATTGACACAGTAAAATGGTCAAAGTTTTTGCACCGATTAACGAACATCCACAAAATTTCTATGACAATCAGCTGAAACATAGCGCTATTTAATGATAGGGTCTCTCCATCGACAGCGTCCTTCTCTTCTAGGGTTATGATGCCGAAAAAAAAATAGATATCGGCGATCACAGCTCGGTTTCCAATGCAGCAGTCGAAGTGCAGCAAGACGAAAAAGCTTTTGTCCAGATGTTTTATTGAAGAATACGCTTACGACGTTATTGATACACGCAAGCATTTTTACATGTCGATATTGACATATAAGAAACTTATTGGGTCCTAATTTCAATGCCTTCAAACTTTGATTATATCCTTAATTATTTATCAACAACTTGAATACTAATGTCCATTTCAGAGTGAAATGGCCGTGGGTATTTTTTGAATAAGTTTTTATAGGAACGAGATGGAGGTCTGTGGTTTTCACCCTTGGAAAGAGCAGATGAAGACACGTCGAATTATATATAGAAAGATTTTTCTAGCTACTTTCCTATAGATTTTACATAAAGCTTCAAGAAAAAACATCATGCTACTCATGGTCATGATATTAATTTATTGATTTTCAGGAGTGCACTAGAATCGCGAAAGGAAGGGCTACAAAATTATATCAAAACTCTGTTCCTGACTACTACCAGTATGATATCTAAACCATCGGAACATAATTTACCAACTCATTTTTTTTTCAACAAAATAATCGAACAATGTAAATTTTTGTAGTATTTTGATAGAAAAGCCACTTTTTTAACGTAGGAGAAAAAAGCAATTCTTTGAAAACTTTTGACTACACCTTTAGGAAAGTAGTTAGAAAAATCTTTCTATACATAATTCGATGTGTTTCCATTTGCTCTTTCCAAAGATGAAAATCGCAGGTATCTATCTCGTTCCTATCAAGAGTTGTTCAAAAAATGTCCACGGCCATTTAACTCTGAAGTGGACATTAATTCGTAGAATCTCATAATCAAGTTACATAGATTCATCGGTAAAATAGTTATTATAGTTGAATTTTAAATTCACTTTGATTGTCCATTACGTTAACAATTCTATAACAATATATATACTTCATTTCATTTCAAACAATACTTGAAAACTAGGGGTGTGAGTGTGAGTGTAATTAACTAGAAGATGAACATCGAAATTCACACCCACACACGATTCGTGTCCGAGTCATGATTCGGACTCGTCCAGCCCTTTTAATTAAAGATCCGTCCTACTTGTTACTTTTTGATGAGCCTACTATTATTTGCAAAGTGTCGTATCTGTTGCGCAATGTACATAAGATCTTCTTGCATGATGCAAAAAAAAAGTTTCTGCTAGATTTTTCAAAATTTCTCCTAGTGTCAGCGATCAATATTGAAACTTTTTTAATTAATGGATAGCACATACAATATAGTCTACAATCACATCGATTAATAAAAGATTTTCTTTGTCTTTGAGTCAACAAGAGCGAGAAGTCTGACTTTCTGGCAAGACGTCACATATATAAGAGTTTAAATGATAAGTCTATTCCATGGATTGTTGTAGAATCTCTTCAATTCATCGAGACTTGACAATATTCTCTTTAGACATAGTGCCCACTCAACAGCCACAACTTTCCAACTAACATGAAGTCCATGCTACTAATTGGTCAGATAGTCGTTTCATACAAATGTGGCTCGAAAACTGCTTTGCTCATAGTACAGGTCGAGATCTTATTCAAATAAACAGTTTCAAATAGTATTACAATAATCATTACTCCACTGATCTAAAATAATCGATCGATTCGTTAATAGGAGATTAGTATTTGAATAATATGTCATTTATATGAAATTCAACAGCGCCGCTTAGAGACACATCAGTCTTGCTGAATGCACGTTCAGAAATAGTTCTAAGGCGATCATTTGAGAAATTTGTGTGTCGAACAATGATCGTTTTGCACAATATCGTATATAGAAACCTTTGTAAATGTATACAAACGCATTCGACGGTCAATGACTAAAAGAATAATTATTAACAATACTCAACCGTGGGAAAATTTAGGATTCAATAGTCACAACACTGGAGATCGGAATATCGTGCCGTAATCCAATTTTCGATAATATTCCTACGAAGGTTTTATAAAATCTGATAGAATCTCATCAGAGTCTAGTCAGATTGGTTCTCGTGAATAATTGTTCTCAAATTGTAATTAGATTTCGAGTTTAGTTATTGTATAAGAACGTATAGAAAACAATTGTTGAATTCATTTGAAAAAAATTATTATATACATAATAGAAAATGCTTTTTATGCAAAAGAATAATTTTTATAAAGACTTGTTTTGTTCAACTTATTAAAGTTATATAAAAAAACAAGCGATTTCCAATAAGACCAATAAAAAGTCCTTCTTATCTGATTTGATTGTTGAGAATTCGAAATTCATTGGTGCATGTATTTATACTCATTGGGTTGATATTCTAACGAGTAAATAAATACTAATTGCTAATGCTGTGATAGCAAATAATCCAATAATAATTCCAAACACAACAAGTACTGTGTTTGTACATACATTATTCTTATCTTCAGACGAGTTTCGTTTAATATTGTCATATGGTCTATTAAAATAATTAGGAGGATAACCATATCCTGAATAGGAATTGGTAGGAATATTATCATTACTATTATCTTTAAGTGGTTCAGTATAAATACGATTTCTATTTAAAATAAATTCAAATTGAATATATTATTATAAATAAAAAAATAAATACAAACTTCATTCGTCCTGGTGATGAATTATCAAAACTAGTTGGAGATAATGATTGATTAGAGTATGGATTATCTTGATGATTGATTTCATTATTTGCTAATTGATTTTTTGTTGATAATGGTTGAAAGTTCGTTGGACTTCCATATGACGATCTTGGATAATTGTCAACATATTGAGATCTGTCGTCAAACATTGGAATTTTCTATAAAATAAATTTTTATTTGAGTTTGATTTCAAGACAACATTCTACCTTGGGTGAATCTTGAGATGGAAGAATTCTGGGAACAATTGGCAGATATGGTGATTGGTACGGATCCATATTTTAGTTCAAATTTATGCAACAAAAAATAAAACTCAATAAAGTAAAGTATTTTTTTACTTCTTTTCTTTTTTGCTTGTGATTGTCGTTCTTTTTTTTTTGTGCAAGAAATTCAATTTATGATTATATTCAGATTGAGAGAAACCTTAACAATGTTCGTCATGAATCTATTCGATTTCTTCTTGTGACAAATAATAATATTTCAACATACTGAAAGAATTGTTTTTTCGTCACAAAAAAGCTCTTCAACGAAATTTTATTAACTTATTAATATCATTGATCATTCATATTTTAACCGAGATATATTTCAATCGAATGACTTGGATAAAATGAAAATTTGAAGGATATAATAATAATATTATATCAAATGTGCAGAGTATGAGTTTGCACTTGTGAGAGGGAGACCTATCGTCAAACGTACACGTATTACAAGTACAATATGATGGTGAATGAAGTATACGATGAAGACCTTTATATAATGCATCAATATAATCAAGAAAATGATTGAATTGATTATAAAATAAACCATATAATCATAGATGAAAACAGACCTCAAATGATTCGATTGTTTTACGACACAAATAAAAAAAAAGCCAAAAAAATTTATTTGGTTTCATATATGAAGAAAAAAAAAAGTTTTGTATCAAATAGTTAAATTCTGACTAAGAAAATGACATTCTGAAATATAATCATTATTTTTATTTAAATAATAATATTCAATGTGTTTTTTTATTGCTAAGAATATTTTTGTCGATATGATTGATATAATAAAATAAGAATACTATCAATATGCTTTAAACAGAAAATTTCATCTATTATACTTTTCAAAAAACAAATGCGTGGTTGTTTTTTGAATAAGTTGGGAACGCAAGCAGCTAGAAACCTGCGGTTTTCACTAATCGAAAGAGGAGACCAGAGAGTCTTTTTCTGCAATAATGCGTGAGAGAAAATCCTTTTACAACTAATTATTTTTGAAAAACCTAAAAGAAAGCATAAAAATGACCGGCAGTTTGTCCTGAACTTCCGGCTTTCAGTATAGGTATAGGTGGAGCCAGTAACAGGTCAATAAGCAATTCTACACGCTAATGATTGAAATCAAGATCAAGCTAACCAGCATGATAGTGGTGTGGATGTAGGTATGCCCTGAATCTTCTGTTGTAAGTATAAATTATGAGTATCATAAGCTTTTCCTATATCGTCGCACAAAATTGCGTCTTTTCTTTGATTTTTTTTATGATTAAAAATGCTCTGTTATGTTAAGATTACAAAAATTATTAATAATATTTAAATTCACATTAATATATGTATATATTGTCATCCACGTTATTTTGTCTATCTAGATTGGAATTTTGAGTGTTAATGTGAAAAAGTATAAGAAAATACAAAGTATACTGCTCATCTCCTGGCAAAAATTGCGAACTCGAAATTTTAAAATCGATGAGATGCGTAAAATAAATTCATAATTTAACTCGAAAATAATTTATATTTTATTTTAAATGTACACTCTGACTGTTTTATGTAGAAATTTATTTAGGTTTTTCAAATGTAGTTTAGTTTTATTTAAGATTAAATTAATCAACTTTTTTTTATCCATATGAAAATTTTAAAAAACTTTGAATAAGATTTTACTATAAAATATCTACAAATCTTATGTGAGACATTGAAGTTGAGTACTCTATCATACAATCCAATTGTCTAAACGACGAGTAAGTGACATATTGCATGTATGGTCGAATCTAACCTTTCACCTTATATATATGGAAGAAGTTACTAGGAAAAATGCTCATTACTTAGGTCATTCCAAGCTCACTCAGAAACGTTGTCAAGTGCAACTGCGTTGCAATTCGATCTTAATCGAAAATATGAGATAATAGCGATGTTTCCGCGAGCAATTACCTATTTGTTGTGTCACTTACAGTATCCATCATCATCTGGGGCAAAATAAATAAAATAAATGTTACGCTCTAAAATTGTGACCGATATATTGCAGAAAGATGAATGCTTTATCGACTTTGTGCAATAGACGATTTCATTAATATATTCGCGTCTCTTTTCTGGAATAGAATTAGTAATGATTCTTTAAGTTCGTAAGAAAAACTAGACTTATTACTCTAGTTGTATAGGCTGTTACAAAGGTACCGCAATAATTTTATTTTTTCTTTCATCAAAATGACTCCATCATATTACACACATTTAACTAATATGAGTTTGAAAAGATTCGACATAGGTCACACAGAGTCTATCAATGTCCTAAGATCAGTATCTATAATGATGTCTGATGGTGCCGCACAGGGAGCTCCTTTTGATTGACGACGAAAGGCAATAAATATTAATTGCTTTTTCTATAACAGATAGTTGGTGCTATGAGGCATCGTAACAGATATTGATATTAGCACATTCAAAGGTTATATGTGTGTCAATTGAGACTTCGTACAGTACATTAATATTATAAAATACTTCTGCAACCAGGTGGCAGATGATCAGTAGAATCGAAAATCTACTTCAACTGAGATTATCCAAACACAAACGTTTGCTAAGTTTTTCAAAGTGTGCCAGTATTTTGTAGTGAAGAATAAATGGCACAACACTCGTGAAAATTTTTTACGAGAAAAATAATTTTCAATTATTCCTATAGTAATGATAATTAATCATAACAATTCTTATTATTATTATTATGATAATACAAAAGTGTGGCTTTATTTCATGCTATTATTATTATTGGCTCTAATCAATGTAACTAATCTTCAATTATTAAATCAGAAACCAGATGACATTCAACGATTACTGTTCAGTCAAGATAAGGAAATCAAACATTCAGAAAAAACAGGGTATTTTCATGAATCATGTACAATTGTTTGAGTGTTAGGTCTATGTGAAAGGCGATTTTTAATGAGTATTGAAATATATAAGAGAAAATTTTTCAACACAGAGCCATATCAATACGAAAGATCATCGTATCAAAAATTCGAACGTCGGATGGGTTATGTTGAAAGCTTTTTTCATTATTTTCTCGAGCCCAACGGTTTCCTTAGCTTTGAATTTTTATGAATTTCATCAACGTTTACATCGATAAGATCAACAATAAAAACCATATATTTTTTTTGTATAGTTTATCTTGTCTAATCGTGATATTAGATGCTGGTATTGGTGGATCTCATCATGCATATCGACTTTCTTCAGCAATTAATAAAAAACTATGCCTATTTGAACGTAATAATTATGTTGGAGGACGAACTTATGATCGTGATTATGATGGAAATTCACCGGAAGCTTATGCGAATACTTCAATTTCTTCTCAAGGTGCACAACGATTTTATCTAGATCAAGCTGTTATTAAACAATTAGCAGATGAATTAAATATTTTCTATTATTCATATGATTATCGAAGAGGTCTTAATAAAGCACGTAGAATATTCTATATTTCAATAAATCAAATGTGTTCTAGATCCTACATAAACTTAACATGTACTGATGACTCTAATGGATTGAATTCTGTCGATCAATTATGGAATAAATTAATGGAAGAATATCATAGAAATACATCGAGTTTATATAATTTTGCTGATTTCAATGCATTCTGTCGTTTTGTTCATGGTGATGAAGCAACTGAATTTCTACGAGATTCAAGTAGATTTCGTGCTGATTTTGAGAATGTGAATGCCTAGGCATATATGGAATGTATAGATCAAGAATGAAATTTGACTGGTAGTGGTAGTCTCTATTATCCCCATCAAGGAATGTTACAATTAGCTAAAAGAATGATGTATATTGTGACAAAGGTTAATCAAGCTCAGTTATATTAAAATGAAGAAGTTCTTAACATTGACGATTATTCCAACGGTAGTTCTTATGCATTTTCTATTGAAACATCTCGATATCCTATTCTTGTTAAACAATTAATTGCAGCAATGGATCCGCCTTGTTGGGAAAATATTCAAGGGTTCAATTGCACATGATATAAAATCACATGAAAATTTTCAATCAATTAAACCAATTAAAGTAGTTACAATAGATTGTTATTAGCCTTATCGATTGTGGGAGGATAGTACATTATTTGGAACGAATATTGATTTAGCTTGGACCAGACAAAATTGTATTAGTTATATTGAAATAACTTCTCGATGTCCACATGAAAACATCAAAATTTAACAAGAGCGGTTTACGATGATGGTTTATGTGTAGAAACCTGGTCGGCACTTATTGCAAGATCATCATAAGAGAATTTAGTACAAGAAATTTTAAGAGGATTGCGCTCAATATTTATTGATGTTCAAATACCACGACCAACGAAAGTATTTACTCAAATATGGTCGGGCGCTTGGCATTTTCAAAAAGCAAACAGTATTGTTAGTAATAAACAAATTATTAGTTGGGCATTGTATCCATTACAACGATTTACTAAACATCAGTTTACTTTAGTTGGCGAAGCATTTCATTTAGATCGTGCCGGTTGGACTGAAGCTGCTATTAAATCATCATTAATATCTCTAACATCACAATTTGATTTGAAATTCAAATGTTACGAAAATGATGTTTCTTCGGGTGGAAGATTTTGTAGTTTGGATTTTGTTTAATATCAATTTTGTATTCGCATTTGTGATTAGTATACTGCACATTAGATATTTGAATGGACTTATTCATAAACAAAGACAAAAACAAAAACAATAGCGATTTTATTTTGCTGTTATACTCTACGTTGAATCTTCTTTTTAGATGTGGTTTAGGTTTTCTTCTGGACTATTTATTAAAGCAAACAATGCTAAAAATTTCATAATATTTATTCAGATTATCTCGGAAGTTATAAACGACAGAAGGCTTCCAAAATGAAATGAAAAAATGAAAAATAACAAGGAAAACAAAAAATAAGGTGTCCGAAAAAACCAAGATTTCTGTTCGAAATGTAACAAAAAAACAGATACGACGTTTCCCTGATAATCGACTATCGTTAGAACAAAACCTTCTTCTTTTAGAAATTTTATACTCTCTTTATTTTGTGTTAGTATAATTAAATTAAAGAAGATATATGATTTCGGTGTTTTAGTCTTTATGAGGACTTCCTCCCGCAAACCAATACAAACATTCTACTCTGAAGAGATAAAGGTTCCATACAGAACCAAAAATGGTTCCGTGCGTGTTACAAAAGCATAAAAAAAGTTTCCTAAACCTATGCCAATCATATTGAAGGTGTCTTGGGTTCGTAAGAAACCTTCCAAAATACCACCATTTATAATAAAAAAATAACCGAAAATATCGACATTGCATCGATTATTTCGATTATAGTCGACTTCATAATCAGATAGAAATCGCTCATGATCAATGTAAAACAAACACTACTGGTCTCAAGTTCTACCGCTTACAATCACAAGAAATTGATTAAGAATGGAGGTGGGTGGGTCTACGTGTGCGTGTACGTATGGATGTAGATGTGAGTGGGCGAAGTAAAAGCAAGCACCCACACTTATCCCCACAACAGGAAGAAGCATATTTCTTTTTCTGTGATAGATATACATATATTTCTACGAAAATAAGATAGCATATATTGTTTTGACAATTGTAAAAGAAAAAATGAGTTTAAAAATTTTTGTCGCTTGACGACGGGGTGTCGTCGAATGGCAACATGCCAATTTGTTATTGTTCGGAATTACTGAAAAATACTAATTTGTTATTCGATAAATAATAGAGAATGCAAGTGCAACGGTATGTATCATTTATCTTATCACACTCACAGTCACAAATGATGATTTCTTTTTTCAACAGCAATCGATCATATCAACTCATTATAAGCTTGCTAAAATTCAATGTAAAATCTTTTTACTGTGCTGTTCGAAACAAATTAAAATAATCTTGTATAGCCCTTCATACAAACACGCACTGAACAAGATTGGTATTATGGGAAGAAAATCCGAAAGAAACCGGATTGTTCGAAACTCATTTGAATGGGACCAATTCTAATGTCAGCAAAGTCATGGACCAATTAGTTCTTGAAAATCATTTTAAACTTCGTTGCAGTAGAATATGTATTTGACAGCTAATACAACAAAAAACCAAGATGTACGTCCTTGATTAAAAACACTTTCTTTTCTTCAAAACGATTGTTACATATACTCATTTATCACATGTCATAATAATCGATTAAAAATTGCATGATTACAATTATTACGAAACAAGAAACTTTCGTGCATATATAACATTCACATAGCAACTGAAGCCATTTATTTTGAAGTTACGTTGATATCAAACGAGACAAATAGCACTATATAACTACAATTTCGTTTTTCAAGCGTACATTCATACTCAATTATCGTAGCAAGAAAGCAGAAATGAAATGTTTTGTTTTTTTTTATAAACGTCCAAGCGATACATCTCGACCGAAGCCTTGTTCGATAAAGGATTTGAATTCATCAAAATTCAGCTTATAATCACCATCTCTATCAGCCTTTTGTATTTGATGAAGAAGTAAATATGGATTTGCTTTTGGCAAGATGATACATATAAATTCATGTAATTTAGTGATGTCGATTTTGTTAGAATGATCAGTATCAAGAAGACGAAAGGTTTCCGGAATATCTTCAATTGCATATTTTCCCATCATAAATGTACGTAATATTCTTATGAACTTATCATAGGACATTGATGGTTTATAGAATCTCGATGCCGTCCGTTCATATTCTTGTCGAGACCACTTAATATGATATTTTTTACTTTCTCCATGATCATTTTCATCATATTCATATTCAACCTCGTCAATTTGACCATATTTTTGATATATAGTTTCCGTTGCGATTATTTTGCATTCATCAGACATCTTAAATATAGTGTATATTTTGACTACAATTCTATAAACTAAAACATTTAGTTGAAATCTACTTTTAATCTCTAGACTATTCGAAAGTAACTAAAATACTTATCTAATGCAAACCTTCTGTACAAAATTTGAATGCGAATGGTTAACAAAAAAAAAAACAAGTTTGAAAAGCATATCTACCGAAGCTGAATTAAATCTATCGTTCAATTCGAAAGTAAAAGAAACGTTTCCATTGACATGAATAAACAAAAGAGTTTGATAATAATTTAGTTTTATGAAAGATTACATCAACTGAAAAGTTCTAGTGCTACTCTTCTACACGCGTTTAAGCTCCAACATACAGTTAATAATCACTTGTTTCAATAGGCTTTCATCATAGTTATTGTTTAATTTTGAAGAAGGAAGAATCGAGGAGAACCCGAAAATTAAAAAAAAATATGCTTAAACTTAGTCGTTAAAATATAGTGAATAATTTAGATTTGAGGCAGCAGAGTAGACTGTTTGCAATGAACTTGAGAATCTTTATTGAAATGACATTAATGTGTACACACTTTTGTCTAACACTTCGAGTTGAGTCATTTTCTATTAGTTTTTTTGACAAAGCCTGACTTCTATTTGACGTCACTTTCTCATTCATAATGTCACGCACGCTTTTGAGAGTCACCGCAAACAAGGAAAGAAAGGGAGAAAATGTATTGATTGCTTAACCACAAATTGTAAGTCAGCATTCGTACCTATGCTTTTTTTTCATGTTCAAGCGAATTACAGTTTTATTTCAGGATGAGAATGGATGGATCATCTCTCCATTCACACCCATACCCTTTCATATAATTGGATTGAACTTCGAAAATATATATTTTATACGCAAGAAATCGAACTATTGTAAATCACTGAACGATAATCAATATAACATTTACTTACTGCCTTGAATAAAATCAGAGTAAAACTAAAATAAAAGAAGTTTAGTAATTCATGTCTTTAAATAGCTTTGATGGTAACGGTTTTTAAATATTCTTGTTCTAATTCGCCAAAAGACAGTGGGGGAAAAAGAAACTGATATAGCTGGCGATTGCAATAGCTAAATTCTGTTTCTGTGTCATAAATAAAACAAGTCATTGGTTCTTTTTATTATTTTTTTGAATATTCTAATATATTTTTTTATTTGCACTTCTTTTTCTGACGTTCATTGCGATCTATGTATTTACGTGTTTTTCAGGAAAAAAGAATGAGTCGGAATAAGTCAATAGAAATCGAGAATTTCTTTCCGAAGAACGAGAAAAAAATATATATCAGAAAGTTATAATTAGCCTGTACGTCAGTCTAGATGTTTTCTTTCTCGTATTTTGTTACTATAATAGAAAAAAGAATGGATGCGGTATTATTTGCCGTCAACAACAACTGCTTATGAAAATATTCAAAACTTTTTTACTCTTTATAGAATCAATCTTTTTATTTATAACTACGTCATATTTTTGGGTGTGGGTGTGGGGTGTGTATGTGGGTGTGTGTGTATGGATGTGGGTGTGGGTTAAATATTACACAAGACCCACACCCACACCCACACCCACACCCACACCGACACCCACACCCACACACCCACTCACACCCACACACCCACACCCACACGTCCACACTCACCCACACCTACACCCACACCCATCCCACACCCACACACCCAAGATGAGAGGTGGATGTGGGCATAGTTGCAGTCGTCTCTTCTATCTGCACCCACACCGACACCCAGAATTTTTCAAAAAGTTTATGTGTAAACATGTTGCTGGTTTGGCTATTCGATTAAACTATTGCAAGTCACCACCTGCTGCTAAACAAGTTGAAATTGGGGGAAAAAAACGTCGTAGTAGACCAATGAAGTGCAAAAAAGCGCTATTAATTCAATAAATTTCTGTTAATTGTACAAATAGTTTCTTACCTGAAATAAACTAATAAAAAACTGAACAAAAGTAGAT